AATGACAACAAAGATAGTGAGCTTAGAATACAGGAGGTCACGCTAGAGATAACAGATAAATACAAATATCTGGGCGTATGGATAAGCAATGGGACCGAGTATCTGAGGGAACACGAAATATACGTGACGACTAAAGGTAACAGGAATGCAGCAGTCATGAAAAATAGGGCACTGTGGAATTACAATAGGTATGATGTTGTGAGAGGAATATGGAAAGGGGTCATGGTTCCTGGGCTGACGTTCGGCAATGCGGTCTTGTGCATGAGATCAGAAGTTCAAGCAAGATTAGAAATTAAGCAACGTGGAATAGGTAGGCTTGCTTTAGGAGCTCACGGGAATACACCAAATCAGGGAGTACAAGGTGATATGGGATGGACATCATTTGAGGGCAGAGAAGCTAGCAGCAAGATAAAATTTGAGAAGCGATTGAGAGAAATGGGGGAAGAGCGTTGGGCTAGGAAGGTTTCAGCTACTTGTACATGAAGAATGTCGATACAAAATGGAGGAAGCGAACCAGGAAGTTGACTGGTAAATACTTAGAAAACAGCAGGTGGCCAAACCAAAAAGAACTATCGGTTAAGAAGAAAGTGAAGGAAACGGAGACTGACATGTGGAGAATGGGCATGATTAAGAAGTCCGCACTAGAGGTCTATCGAACGTTTAAGCAGGAAATTGCCAAGGAAAGGATCTATGATAATACTCGGGGTAGTTCTCTACTGTTTGAGGCCAGAACGGGAGTACTGCGAACCAAGACATATCGGGCCAAATACGAAGGGGTAGACACAGTATGCAGTGCGTGTGGAGAGGAAGAAGAAACTGCCGAACACTTGATAATGTTCTGTAAAGGGCTTCACCCTATAATTCAGGATGATGGCGCAGAGTTTTTCAAAGCACTGGGGTTTAGGGACCGGGAGGGCAAAATAAACTTTAAGCGGGTAGACTTCACTAGAAGGAGGTTATCTGATTGGTGGCTAAAGTCAAGGCGCGAGTGAAAATTAAACTCTTCACTGCAAAGTACGAATCCTCAAACTCTTTTTTAAGGAAAAAAAATATAGTTTTTGGTTCATTAGATATTACGGCTTGGTGGCGCTAGCCACCGCCCGATCTAAAGGGTACAGCCATATCCATCCATCCATCCATCCATGTAGCCACCTCTCGTTTAGTTCTTGTAGTGTTTACTAGATGGTGGTACTTGTAGCTGATGATGAAAAGATGCAAGATGTTATAAACTAGAAAGCGGTACTTGTAGTTGATGAAAGACGCAAGATCTTATAAAATAGGAATGATGTCACATATGGCGCGTGTCATTGGTTGAAGGCAATTGTTCGATTTAGTGCGGCGACGTACGCTAGGGGGAGCGATGTAATAAAATCGAGTGGGCAAAATGTACAGAGGATTCATGGTTTACCAGGTTTACCTCCGGAGCTTCGCCCACTCATCATCATTCACTTCGTGGATATGGCGGCACTTTCTTTAAAAGACGTTAGCTATAAAAATTTCGTTACAACTACACGGTTCTTGGCTAATACCCCAGCGCGGGTGTGTGCCTCTGTTTCCAGGCTCTTCTTCAAAGCACGTAGTTCCTCCCTGTACAACCCATGGGCCTTTCGCGCGAAGGAAGACTGCTGGCGCGTATCATCTCCGCTTGACCTGCGATGTATTTACGCACGCACTGTATTTAGTCGAATGCAGCGCATTTTTATTTATTGCGATAGCAATTATATGGACACTCTTGGCTGCATTTTGTCGCTAACGTCGGCGTTGATGTCATGCTCTGCACATTAATATATATATATATATATATATATATATATATATATATATATATATATATATATATATATATATATATATATATATATATAGTGGGAGTAATAATTCAATGGGTAAGTTAGTCTTCGTGAAGGTATGGGATATGGCACAACGGGAGCGTTGTCAACGAGGATAAATATATTTATTTCCCAACAGTTTCGGGAGGGGTCCTCCCTTCATCAGGGGATGAGTTATACTGACGTGAGCTTCCAAACTTCGTTGCTGCCGCGTCCCTCTCGCCTTGAAAGATGTTTGCGAGAGTGAGAGGAAACTAAAAACAGAAAGAAAGAAAAAAGGGAAGAAAAAAGACGAAAAGAAAAAAAGAAAGAAAAAGAAAGAAAAGAAAGAAACTTCAAGTCTCGGCATCCCAGGCGGTAGTTTTCTGGTGACCATGGACGTCTGCTCACTGTACACCAACATACCTCACCATGACGGAATAGCGGCTATGGTTTCTGAATATGTAAAATCTGACTCATCAACTAGTGTAAGTGGCGAGGTACTGTTTACACTTCTTGAACTTGTACTAAATTATAACCATTTTGAGTTCAATGGCAAGCATTTCCTTCAGGTCAGTGGCACTGCAATGGGCACGAAAATGGCCCCAAACTTCGCGAGCAACTTTATGGCTTCACTTGAAATCCCATTCATTGAGGGACGCACCTGGAAACCTTTTTACTACAGAAGATACTTAGACAATATTTTTATGATATGGAACCATGATGAGGGAAGTCTTTTCCGCTTCATAGAGGATTTTAACAAGTGCCACCTGTCAATTAAGTTCGCGCACAAAATTTCCAAAACTAGCATTAACTTCTTGGACGTCACTGTCACGGTCAAAAATGACCGCTTGTCAACAAACCTTTACAAAAAGCCTACAGACCGTCAAATGTACCTACATTTCAACAGCAGCCACCCAAAGCATTGCAAAACGGGTATTCCGTATTCTCAGGCCTACCGGTACCGAAGAATATGCACCGATATGCGGGAATTTGACAGACACGAGAAACACCTAAAGCATTCCTTATTGAAACAAAATTATCTGGAAGACATTATTGACGATGCTATACTACGTGCTCGCAACGTGAACAGGAATGATATAATTAAGGGACCAAACAGAGTATCTAAAACGACTTCCCAAACGAACCTTGTACTAACTTACTCCTCATCAGCGCCACGAATCAACAACATACTTTCCCGCCATTTCAACATAATCAGGCAAAGCAAACGACTAACTTCTATTTTCGCGAAGCCACCTCACGTGGTGTACCGCAGGGATAAAAATCTGAAGGACATTCTTGTCAGAGCAAAAACAAACACCCCCAAAATTCAATCAGGGTGCCATCCTTGCGGAAAAGCTCGATGCAAGGTATGCCCACAGATGGTCACAACACGTGAATCCAAAGCGAACTTCTCGGATTTCAAATTCTGCATAACTGAAAGCCTTAATTGTGACTCCAGTAATGTAATATACATGCTACATTGCAACATTTGCGGACAAGAATATATCGGCCAAACAGACACGCCATTTCGGCTGCGGTTCAATAATCACCGGTACCACGCCACTTCACTGCATAAGCTACCTTTATCTAGACATCTGCGCCTGCCGAACCACAGTTTTGAAAATAACGGCGTAACTCTTTTGCAGTCCGGTTTCTCAAACAGGCGCGGGCGCGAACAGCGTGAGGCATATTTTATTTTCGAATTTCGAAAATTAGTAGCCGGCATCAACAAGGACCCCAGAAGACTCTGCTGCCTCCGAGAAGTAAGCCAGGAGGAAATTGGTGACAAAGATTGATAGCTGGAGACCATGCTTGTTTTTTCTGACTGACTCGTACGTGTACACTGTCCTTTCTTTTTTTTGATTTTCTTTTTTTTTTCTTTTTTCACATGCACATACAAAGTGTTTATGTTCGCCTACCACTTGATGACCATTGAAGGGAAACGGACGAAGATTAAAGGTGAAGAGCCGACTGACCCATTAAGGGGAAACCCTTTCTTTACGCACGCCGTCACGGACCCCTCCCGCCACCGCGGCGACAATCTTGGGTGGCCCGACACACGTCGAGAACTGACCAGCACGTGATAAGAACCGGATGTGGACGTACACAAACAGTTGGTTTCGTTCTCAGTGTTGACAGTGGTTCTTCCTCTTTTTTTTTTACTTTCTTTCTTTCCTTTCTTTTTTTCTTTTCGTCTTTTTTCTTCCCTTTTTTTCTTTTTTTAGTTCCCTCTCACTCTCGCAAACATTTTTCAAGGCGAGAGGGACGCGGCAGCAACGAAGTTTGGAAGTTCATGTCAGTATAACTCATCCCCTGATGAAGGGAGGACCTCTCCCGAAACTGTTGGGAAATAAATATATTTATCCTTGTTGACAACGCTCCCGTTGTGCCATATCCCATATATATATGGGACACTTATATGGACACATTATATGGGACACACTTATATATATATATATATATATATATATATATATATATATATATATATATATATATATATATATATATATATATATATAATATATATATATATATATATATATATATATAAGTGTGTGTGCGTGTGTGTGTGAAAAGGTAAGAGAAAAAAATCCAGAAAGAAAGACACCGGCGCGCGGAATTGAACGTGGGACCTCCGCGTCATGAACGCAAGGCGTTACTACTGAGCTACGGTGGCGTACCTCCATGGACGTTCAAACAGCAAGCTATTTATACTTTCAGATTGTCGCTACTTAAAGTCAACCCTCGCCTTACAATCGAACACCCGAAATGACCATTTTTTTTTCTTCCAAAACGCAATGTAAAATCACACCTCACGTTACAATAAATGCAGTATGATGCGAGGGGCAATGGTATCACGCTTGGACTTCACGCGAAACCTCACAGCGACGCCATTGTCACCAGCAAGAATGTGATATGTCCATATTATTCTATCACAACAAAGCAGGTCGAAAGGTAAAAGCAAGAGGCCGACCAAAAAACACTCGTCTTGCTTTTACCTTTCGACCATGATTACTCCCGACCAGACAACCTTTTTTACAAACAATAAAGCAGGTCGGCATTCCATATTCACCAAGCCATTACACCAGCATTCCAAAAGTTGCTGCGCTACAACAGCAGTGACCTGGGCACAGAGTTAATCAACATGCCTTATGTACAACAGGCCACGAAATCCGAAACAAGTCGTAAGGTATACACATCAACTTTATTCGAGAGAAGCCTACAAACCTGACGCATCTAGATAAATGATTGCAAAATTCTCTTCACAGCACAAGACAAAAAAAAAAAAAAAAACTTGAGGAGCAGCATACAGGGAAAAACACAACTACAGTAGACTCTCAGTAAATGGAAATCTGTTAAACGGAACTACTGCTTAAACAGAACTATTGCCTCTGCATTGCTTGGTTTCAGGCTTGTATAATGCACCCATGTTCACCTCTCAGTAAATGGAACTCCTGTTCAATGAAACACATTTTGCCAGTCACTTCAGGTTCTGTTTACTGAGATTCTACTGTATGTATAGGTTTTCGCTTGCTTAAGCAGCCACGCGGGCGCCATCGACACTGGACACCACCCACCTAGCACATGTGTACTTGTACATTCACGCATATCTTCTGCACACAGGCAATTTGTGGGATGAGGATCTTTGTCACCACAGACTGTTTGCGAGCGTGCGTGTAGCTGATCTCTCGTGCAAGCTGGACCCTCCACGAGTTCGCTTCTTTATAATGATACCTGCTTAGGTGTCCTTGGTGTGTGCAAGGAATTGTAGCCTTCAAAGTGGTGCATCTAGAAGTGGCCAAGTGAAAAGCAAAGACATAGATCTTGATGAAGGCATCACCTTGAAACCGTTGTACGGCAATCAAAAATGAATTCGGCGTTGATTATTTCCAAATTGGCTACTGAACATATCTTATGTTAGCAGCAATGTTTCTACTGGTTTACATGAGTAAAAAGTTCACAAGATTAAAAATAGGTAGTTTCTTTTCCGTAATAATTTCCTATGCTACCTGTGAAGCCAGTATGCCACATTCTGTGCCTGTAAAACCTGTTTCGCCTTCCCCCCTACTCCTGAAACGGGCACTCCAATATTTAACAACCCTAGTGTATACAATGTTGGAATGAATCTTGTGTTAAATAACAAAAAGAAAGAACTTCCAAATTTTGATAACAACACCAAATTTATGTTGTGCACCTCACTCTTAATGCACCATTTGTCTGGCTCGACCAATATCTCCTCTCACCTTTCAGCCGAATGGTAAACCTGCGTAGGTAGTCAAAATGCAAGTCCACAATGTCTCTACCATTCAGCTTTTATTCTCTACACTTGGTACTTCAAACCATGCACATTCAAGAAAGTTTGGCCACACCACATGGTATACCACTTATGGTGGTAGTAGATGTGTGCAAGTTAGACCCTACGCTTTGCAATGCAATCACCAGTAGCGGCTATCCCTCTTCGGCACACGAACAGTCTTGGCACCAACAGAATTTTGGTACCAGCATTTGAAAGACTGAGCACTGTTTTGAGTAAACGTTCCTAAAGATCCCAATGAGCATTCCTGTGCATGCCATGAAGAATCCAGCTTTGCCAAACAACAGTAGCATTCACCAACGTTTTCCGCACGGTTACTGCTCTATGCACTCAAACAATCGTCGGCCACTTTAGTGAGCATCCCACGTATCAAAAGCGATGCGCCAGAACCCACTGTCACAACAATGTTGTCAAAGGCACCGCGCTTCTTTACACCTCCTCACCAACTTTGAGCTTGCAAGGAATTGTAATACACTGAATATGCGGAGATATTGCACGAAACTTGGCATTCAAAAAGCGCGAGCAGGGTTTTTCATTTCAAAAACCACAACCTCCACTGTATAATAAACGCAATGTAGCATAAACTATATGGGCGCTTTCATGAAACCGCTACTGTTATGAAGACGAAAAAATTCGGTGCCTCACATCTCAATGCAACAAGCCAACTGGAAATGAGCAAACTGCATGGGAAATGCTGCATATGTTGGGTACAACCGAATGAAGTGAATAGACTGATTTCAGCATGGTTAAATTCCTATTCTTTAACCACAACAATTCTTCATAACAAGCTAGCTGGTAAATTTCCGGCCTACTGCTCTAGCATTTTTAAAATGTCCAGACAAACGGTGAACCCACAAAAACAAGACCAAACGTGTGTTCATCTGTTAGGTGAAGCTCTTTTGTGTTCGTCCTAGTTCAAATTACTCTCTCAAACTAGAACAATAAGATAGTTCTTAGAGTTGTCTTTTGCTTTGACATTTAGGCAATATTTTCAAGTGTTATGTCAACTGCATTCTTCTCATAAGCTTAGCCCTACATATGACCCAGTACTAATAAAGACTGCAGTATTGTACAAACTAGAATGGTAAAAACAATGCCAAGCATTGAAATCTAGTACACCGGTACTCCTACATTATTGCAGTGCTTAATGAACATGAAGCAATGAGAGAGCCCCTTGCGACAGCATCCGCGCCTATCAATTTATACACACTGTGAAGCACAATAAAGCATCGCATTATCATGAAGAATTAAGAACACACAAACAGGACAATATGATTATAAATACATGCACGCTCAGAGCTTTGCACAGAAACCCTTCGCATGCTAGTAGTACTGCCAAGAAGACATGTCTGAAGATCTCTCGCATGAAGTCGCACAAAAATTCACACCCTTAAAGGCAAACGAAAATCCATCAACAGATCTTGCACATCATCACATTTTGAATAGAACATAAGAAACAATACAGCATTAATTCTTTAGCAAGCCAGAACACTGAGCAACAATAGCAAGTCGCAGACACTTATAGGTCCAGAGCACATGTAAGAACACATCACACTTTCCGCTGTGCTCATGGCATCTACTTACACGCATCTCCAATCATTTGCATGGAGAATTTTCGATAAACACAGACTCACTAGTTTACAGGGAGAAAAAGTAATTTCATTAAAGAAAAAAGTCACTCGGAGACGAAGACAGACCGATACTGTGTAAAACATTCCCACTGGTCAGAAAACAAATGCATCTGGATAATGACGAAGAAAACGACAACTTCACACTCTATTCACATATCATTATGCTCATGCAAAGTGCCAAGAAATGGCTGATTTTTTATGCTTAAGAGGTACAGAGACTACAAGAGTGCGTGAGAATAGTTGCGTGAGGTTAACAGGTGAACAGCGAAATCAGCGGTGTGCTCGGAGAACCATACCCTCCACAAGAAAAGCAAATGCACAATGCTTTGGTTTTTACCAATGAGGCAGAGATGCAGTTACTCAAGGGAACATGGAAGAACACGTCGCAATGAGGCAGCACAGATCTTACGAATGCACTAACCTATCAAGTCAGTAAAAACCACCGGGTTGAAAAGCACACCATTAACGGCACAGAATGCACATTCAAAGACAGCAGGATCAGCACCTCTACAAATAGAGAGACACCCATCATCTGGCTAAGCAGCACAAAAATTCTCCCTTTATACATGCACGAAGGCCTACAGGTGCCCACAAGCAAATATGTTATTATCCCTTCTGACAGATGCCACCACAGAAAAATACGACACGAATGTACAACAGCACAATGACACTGTCAAGTAGTTTACACACCATACTGAGTCAAACACTCGCACTTGTGGCCACAAACAGATTGGGCATTTGTTGGACGTCCGGGGTTAATGAGAAAACCTAGACAGGAAGGCGCACAGGAAGCCATAACAAGTGTAGATGGAAACTGCCAAACACAGTCCAAACACTTCACAAGAGTGACCCTGGCACTTGCTGTCGTGCGACGAATGAGTGGGCGGCGGCTTCAATGTGCTTTAGCATCATGCAGAGATGGCCCTTTGAGGTACATTTCATTTAGCAGTGCCTTGTTTGAATTGCCTGTTTAGTCCGGATAAAGTTGGCACTGCGTGTTATCAACACTGGCGCAGAGCCAGAAAATGAACCGTCAACGAGAGGAATGAAACAGAATTTTTTTTTTTTTCAAACATCCTTGCCAAACATCCTTACAAACAACTCACTGGGCTCAAAGCTCTAACAGAATTCACAAAAGCACGCAAGACCCAAAAGAACCAAACAAGTCACAAGCTGAACCGCAGAATGTACCAACTTGCTAAACTATGCTATCTATGCTCTACAAGAACAATATCCAGAAAAAAAATGGTAAAGGAAAGCTATTTTATTTTAGGAAAAACAAATGATGCATGAAAATGACATCTAGCAGCCACTAAAAAATTTTGCCTGATTTTTGGAGCCTCCAAGGCCCTCTCCTGTGCACCTTCTTTATACACTTAATAATATTTCCAATCCTTTCATTTTTTTTTTCCTTTCTATTCTACCGTTTATGTGGAAGAGGTTCCTTGGGTACTAACACCAAACCAGACAACAGACATGTACTACATACGTAACATGCACAGCAAGCAGTGCATCATGGGCGAGCATTAGAAAAATCTAAAGTGCAAAATGTATGTGTTTTCATTCTTTTTTTTTTTTAATCCGTAGTCAATCTTGGTCAAGAGTGAAGATTGTCTCCATGGAGGGCATTAGAGTATGAGAGAAGCAATTAGCCCAATGCTTTCTGCAAGAGCAATCGTGGGACGGCTCCAGGCACGTTCGAGTATCCCTCAGGTTCTTTCAGTCCCAGCCACGTCCACAATTTTTGCAACCTGCTCATTACTGAGCATGCAAGAGATTAAACTGGCCCCATTTTGGTCATTATAGGAAGCTGTCACTTGAATAAGTTTTCCGTTATTCCAGCAAAAATTTTTTAGTGCAGTGCAATAAGGATAGTTGGTATGCATCCACTTGAGATCCTTTTAGTGACACAAAGAAGGCAAAGCATGCGTACAAAAGCCTTTAGCCATGTTTCTTATTAAAATTAATGAACAAATGAAAATGAGAAAAAACATTGCTCTCACTTAGTTGCCCTCACCCATGCTTGTCTCACAAACATAAATGTAATAGTGATACACCAACTCAGCACACAAACATTTCTTTGTGGTATGTGACATGCCACAAAAATTTAATTAGTATGTTAAGTTATGATAAGTCAGATTCATCTGGTGTTCCTGTCTGCTGTTCTCTTTTTGTCTTCCGATGACAAAGAACTGAGATACCAAGTGCTTCTATTTTGTTTATTTTTTTTCCTTTAGCAATGACAGTAACAACAGGTGGATGAATCAGAATAATGGCCAATAAGGTGAAAACCCACAAATGAGATCTTTGATAATACATCTCTTCAGATGGTAATGCCATGGGCTGACGACGTGATCTTAAGACACATTTTCCCACTAGAGTTCTTCAATAAGAAACAATCTCTGGTGCTTTAGATGATCGAACAGTACGATGCTAGTCTATAGCAACTACACTCTCCCAACAGCGAGGATTAGGCTAAACAAAAAAAGCATTCCACACATTTTTTGGCCAAAATAACACCCCCTATGAGTTGATGTGGTCATGTTTCAGTCATGACCACATTACTCCTATGAGTAATGTGGTCATGTTTCACCCAATATTGCCAACAATACACTTAAAAGCCTCCAAGGTCTAAGTAGAAATAGAGAACAGCTGGCATGACACAAAAACCATACTTAGAGGCAAGCCTTAAGCTGCAAAAGCATTGTGACATAAAACAGTGACTCGAAGCAATACTGCCTGCACCTGTCATGAATGCGCAGATGCACGGACAAAGTGAGACACGGCCTGAAATACTAAGTCCCTCTTTCTGAACCCCAATGTGAGCAAGCAAACAAGCACAAGGTGTGAATGGCACAGACAACAATTTACTACCCCATTGCCGCCTGCTTTGGCAAGGGGTGGAGGCAAGGAGACATGAGAAATCACAGCCAACAAAGACGCGGGAAGAGCTTTCCTCCTCCTACAAGGCATCGGATGGTAAGGAAGAATGGAAATAGGGGCGACGTCACCTACACGACAGTTGGGGATGAGACCGTGTGCAATACTGCCATAAGTGGAAGGGAAATACCTAGGCAATGTTCGTGTAGCGTCCAGCTGCCTTAGGAGAGCGTGGTCAGCAGGTAGATGCACGTAAAGGGAAGACCGCTTCTCAGTCTTTCGTGTAAAACCTGAACAGTGCGAAAATACTGTTTAGGTGTCCCAACTATCTGCGACACACTGAACGGCCTCCACAGTACAACAGGACTGTTTACACTATTGAAAAGTTGTAATACAAACACGTACAGCACAGATGAAGAGGTGGACACAAATACAAGCTGGAAGTGACCGTTTGTGACAAGACCACTCTATTCCAATTACAATATTTCAATTATAAATCGACCTTTCGAGCACGAATCAAAAGCAAGCAGTACAAGCGGTCACTGCAGGTTCGCAAGTCCCAAAAACTTCATTGTGTGCCAACGCCTTTACCACTTTCCTCTCACCACTCACAAGCTCCCAACGTGCAAGTGTGATGTGCAGTGACTTCATTAAATCGAAAATGAAATACAGGTTTCCTTCTCTAAATTAACAAATTGTGTCTGAAGGGGGAAAAACAGAATCGGGTGAGCACAGTTTGAAAAACACTGGTTCTAGACTAACAGAAAAGAAGAAAAAATAAACGAGGCTACACAAGACTAACCAGAGGCATCTAAACCTCTCTCACCTGCTGAATCCTTTTCATCTGCAGTATAAAAGAAGTATTAGAAAAACCTCTGTGCTGCACTAAAACCTCCGGGAAAAAGAACCAAGAAAACTTACCTATATTGCCCATTTCAGCATTCTTTTCAATAAGAAGTCTAGGCTTCTGATCCCCTCCCCCCTCCCCAGCTTCTTTCTAACTGTACGACGAAAACTCAGCTCTTTTCTAGTGTTCAAATTGCTTCTCATGATCCCAGCTTTTTCTGGTTTTAAGGTCTTCAAAAGACCCAGCCTTCAATGCTTCAACGGTAAGAAACTTGGGACTAACGGTGAGATAAGACAGATAACATTCCATGCAAAATGGAACAACCGCTAGGTGCTTTGCAGACACGACTGAAACCAGTGTTTCATTCAACCCAACATGCATTCGGTGCCAGTAAGTTATCTAAAACGGTACAAAGATACAGAGTGTTACAGATGCAAGATGCAAAAGCGTAGAAATCCTGCACAAGAACAATGCACAGAGCTCAAATTACGGCCCAGCAAGCAACGAAGCATGAGGGAATCTAGTAACATACTTAAAGACATATGCTCGAGTGCACAAATGCTTGAGCAATGACCACATTTACAACACCGTCCAACTCTAACTCAAAAACACTCAATGGAGAGGTAGTGTCTCGGGTAGCCAAATTTAGACACATAATGCCAATTTAATTATCGTCGGAAACTTCTTACTCACAAAAGCCCTGACTATTTTTAAAAACACGATCAACTCTTTCAGCATGCTTACAAGCTACTTTAGCGTGCTTGCAATAAGAACTTCCTCTGCAAGTATGCAAGATCTGTGTTACAAGTCTGCTGCAACTATGTAACCTAGTTGCTTCTTACTTGTTTGTGTCTTCGGTCCTCCTAGCTTTGCTTCCAGTCACTACAACAGGTTCGTCAAGTGCTTTCACAAAGAAATGCCATTCCACGGCATACAAGTTCCTCAACCTTCTCAGGCAATACCACATAACTTTGAGAAGCATTTGTACTGACCCATGACTATAGGTGTATACCAAATGCAAGCACTAGAGTGCAATGAAATGGAACAGCAGCATAAAGAGAAATTACACGGCCCGCCGAGGTAGTGTGGTGGTTATGGCCTATTAACCTAAAGGTTGTGGGATCGAATCCCGACTGCGGCGGCTGCATTTTTGATGGAAGCGAAAATGCTGTAGGCCTGTGTGCTCAGATTTTGGTGTACATCAAAGAACCCCACGTGGTCAAAATTTCTGGAGCCCTTCACTACGGCGTCTGTCATAATCATATGGTGGTTTTGGGACGTTAAATCCCATATATCAATCAATCATTATTCAAATCATCCAATAACACATTGCATGTGCTCGAGAATTGAAGCCACGTGATTGTAGCAAAAATGAGAACACCTGTTCGGCTAAGTACTTATTATCGCATCCAGATCGCTAGCAGTATTAGCATGACCTAACAGTCTTTACTGATAGCATCGATTGTTACGTTATTAGCAAGTGATACTGCGAGCACCACACTAAAACACGGTTGTCAACACAACCAAGGTACGGCTAGACCAAAGGTGCTTTTCAATACGCAAGATATCAACGTTGTCACAAAAGCTACAACCAGAGCTGAATACCCAAACAACCACACAATCACACTACAAAAAAAAAAAAAAAAAAACTGCTTCACTTTACATTAAAAGACAACATTTTGAGGACTGTTTTCATCAATTTCATGGCAATAGGATGAATATCGGTCAAACACGAAAGTTAAGATTTAATTTTAAGAAATTTTGTTGCATTGCTGTGCCATTGCAACATCACATATTTCAAACTATTTTTTCATATTTCGGTTACTATGGCACAGAAAAAAGAAGGCTCCAAACTAGCACAGTCTTGTATCCTTAAAAAAAATGGCATACTCCACCTTTAGGAATAAAAGAGCAAATGAGGCTCAAGCACATGCTGTTAAGAGCTACAACAGTTTGGTGTGCATATATTACACAACTACAGCCTCTTTTCGTTTTGTTTTTTTGCACTTTCCTTAGGTTACCTAGCCTCTTCTCAGTGTAAGAGGTTTTTTTTTTTTGGCTGTTGTATAAGGGTTGTTTATTAATCCATTTCCAATGACATTTACCCTGCAGTGTGCTACTAAATGCTCGACTGAAAACGCTGACAACAGACAATCTTTTTTTTTTTTTGCTTGCATTTCCTGACCCCAGTAATCGCAGAGATGTTTCACGCACCATGTTTGTGAGCAATATACAGGGTAGTAAAGCACCTGGATATGTTTGCTGTGCATTGCGGTAGCACGCGATTCAACACGGTGTGCTGAACGTTCGGCTCCGTGTAACAAATTTTTTTTTTTTTTTATGAATCGAGAAAGTACTGAGCTGACAGCCCTACACACTACTGATGGTGACACATGTATTGAAAGTGCATTCTGAAGTGGAAGCAGAAAAAGGAAGAGGAGGACATTGACTCAAAACTTTGGTTCAAACGATTCTGCTTTTAAGGTCTCGGGAAGTAGCAGAGAGTCAAAGTTATAATACTGTCACATACGCAACATTTTCAGCAAATGTGCATGTCACACTGAAGCCACGCATTGGTTAGTTCTTTGGTGTGGGAACAAAAGGCCGGGTTCGTAACCCCTTTTCAGGAAAATTATCATGTGACCAAAATGTTTTTCCTCGTACGTCCGAAGACCCGCAGAGCCCAGTGGTAACCAATTTTTACTTAGTAAAAAATTCGGTAGGAGTAGATTCTTCTATGCAACCACCACAATCCTCTAATCCCTTCAACATAACGCAAGACGGCTTGTGATAATTCGCTCTGAAACAACTTTCCGGAAAATGTGACAACAAACTCTAGGATCTTGGTTGGCTTGTTGTATCCCCCATGAAAGTAAAAGCCACAGAATTTAAGCGAGGCTTTCAGTCCACTAATTCCTTTAGCTTCATAAGAATTTATCTACAGACAGGTAAGAAAAGGTCATTTACGAAGCACTAGTAATCAAAACAGGTTCACATGTGATGTTCAGTATGCCTGGTGATGCTGCCATCAATGTGAAGATAGATTCGCAATTACGGCTTCTTCAACTTCTGACATGTGAACACGTAGCACTATACATGGCAATTGTACAAAAGGGGGTACAATGCTGAAATTAAATGTCCAATGCTCTCCAAACCAGTGTCCTCCAGCAACACAAAAACAGTCAAGTGACAGAAACACCGCTTGTCTCCTACATTTATGCTCTAGTGGCAACATGTTATTACGACAAGGGGGAACACTGTGCACGCGATTCACTGAAGGTGTGGCAACATATCAGTGACTAAGTGGTCGTATAACTCGGGCCATGCGACTTAACGTTATAAAACTGAACTGTGCAGATGCCACAGGCCCTGGTGAGTGGAGAAGAGCAAAAGGGTCTGCCCCATTTCACACTGACTAGCTCGAATTTGAATTCATGCTGGCAGCACCTTCAAATGTGGATGCTGCAACCAAAAAGAAACCTCCCACATGCAAGAGGGAGAGAAAGATGAAGTAAGACAATGCCTTTCCCAGCAAGGGCTATCAACTCGGACTGAAAGGCCCCTCCTGCCGCCCACTTAGCGGCTCCTGGGATTGAACTGCCAGGCCTCCGTCGTCAAGGGCAACCGAGTCAGCCAGCTCTTCGGAGTAGTAGTGTGGCGTGTTCAGGTATGCCTTGAGACGTGCTGGCAGCGGAAGTGCATCAACGAAGTCCCGCCGTATGGTCTTCAATATGGAGAAGCTGAGAGGAGAGTGGCAGCATAAATCAGTCAGCAATCCAAGACTGGCCTCCAGAAAACAATCTCGCGGGCAGTATCTCTAGGTCTGATAAGCCTGCCAGGCAGGCCAATCTCTACCCCACATAATTTGAATTTTCTACTGTAGATAATACTTAAATCAAATGCAGCAAAATATGTTCTTCTTCTACCTAAGAACATATAATCAAGTACACAGTCTGATTCCTGGCTCTTTAAAAACAGTGCTAATCAAGCAGATATATATCAGTCCGGAAACATTTGAACTAACTTCCTTCACAAGGCATACTTCCTCCACATGGCAGAGTTTGTTAATCTGCTTCAAATATGATTCCCATTACTAAAAAAAAAAATCAGAGTTTATCTTTTCCTGCTTCAGTTTTTGAAAAAATACGCGGAATCACTTTTATATTTCTCTTATTGTGTCTACATCACTCGCTGATGAGGAAAATCAGCCCACTCGCACCACTCGCTTCCTTTTCTTTTCAATGGCATTCTTCTCACAGCATTACCATAGCGCCTATGAACCAAATGCAATCATATACATGGCAACTTGGAGACACTGACCACCAGTGAAGAATTAACACAACCATTCTGCCCCGTGAAAATGAAGGGCCAGCGAAGCTGGACTCTGGCATCCAAGATGTTGTTTTCCGTTGGCACCCTAGGCGTGCCTCAAAGCTGTACCTATGTCACCTCGTGTGACATGTTGCATAGGCTCTGCCATTTTTGCAAGGTCTTCATCGATGTTGGCCGCTCTTAACTACTGTTGGCACTACCATTACTGCTCCCTTTGTCGGTCCTCGTAGGGGCAGATTGCTTCGCTTTAGCGTAAAATTCATAAAACCTTGCAAGTTCACTACGTGGACTGTCCTTTCCAGCACGTGACCAATAAATTATTACACAGAATCTCAAGAAGCAGATGTGGTGATTGAAACAGGTGCAGAAGATCTCAAGCCCTATCCAATAAATGCAAGCTGAAATAGACAGCCTCTTTCGTTGTCTCTTATAGCAAGCACATATACCGCCACCACCACCTACTGTCCAATGCTCGTGTCGTTCCTATTGCAATCTCTAACAAAATAACATTAGATACCATTTCACTCAGGTGAATGTGGGTGACCAGCCGAAATGATGGGTGCAGGCTCTCCTTTGGCAATGAAGAGATGGATAAGTGTAGAGTTTCCATGTAAAAGTGGCCTTTTCTAGAACACTGTTCTCAGGTGGCATTGGCAGTGTCTATACTTTCTAATGTTTGTCAGCATCTTGATTGGCCTTCTAAAAAGCCCCCAAGCCACAATCAATAATTTTTTTTTAACATTCCAAGTAAACACAGACGTTGAGTTCAGAATGTCATCCCTATCAACAATGCCAAATACAGCAGCGCTATGAGACGCGAGCCCCCACCTCACAAATTTCAAGAACCAATACCTTCGGCTCTCCAGGCTTCACAGTAATCCTAAGCGTTCGCCACGACGCCTACATAGTCCCCTGCTCATGATATCTACAACAGATCGTGTTTGCCTGCTCACACTTACACGCACTCACAGCTCCTCCTCTTTGCAATGTGAGGAGGACCAATCATTTAGGAGAAGAAAGAAGCTGATCAATGAATCAACGTGAAGAAAAGAGCAAAACGAGCGTAAGCCTCTTTTGGATAATGAAACGTGTGTAACTATGACTAGTATGGAACTGTTTGAAAAAATTCTCATGGCTACGTGCTCATTGTATGCTAGTGCACATCTGCAACACCACTGAATTTTAACCAGGGGCCTTTTAAAGAGCGCATGGCAAAATGCACATCTGGAATGAAGTTATCATAAAGCCAGATGTGCGTGATTCTCCACACCAGCTTTGCATGTCCTGCAGAAGGCGTTTATTGTACCACTACTAGTAATAAACAGTAAAAGCTTGTTGACTGGGCTTTCACAGATCAGGAAGAAATGTCCAAATTTACCATTGTTGAATTATCGAAACTATCAAGAAAAAAATATTGACATCTATTGCATCAACACACTTTCAGTTTCTTGATGAATGCGTAAGTCCTGTACATTTCGCACAAGAGAAGCGCAAAAGCCAGAGTCTTTGTACTCTTGTAATGTCAAGTGTTGTTAAGCTATCGAACGATAGCTTTTAGCGCGGGCTCCTCAGCTATCACATTTTGTTTTGATGGCAAAATGAACCAATTTCAATTCAATTCTTGCAACTTCGTCCTCAATGAGACCTCGCCCTCAGCACAGCAGTTTAAATAGCCCAAATCCTGCTCTGCACAATTCTGTTATTACATACCACCACCACCACGCGACGATGGTTCTTTCACAGCTAAAATGGCCCGCAACTGTTTGTTCATTCATCGTGATGTGGGAAGCGAGTTTTAAGCCATATTGTGTACTGTGGCTGAAAGCTTTGCATCTTCAACAGCTTCTGTGATGTATTGTAACATTGCACGCACAATACATAGAGTTAAAATAAAGCCGCTGAGTCCTTGACCCACAAGTAGACAAATGCTCAATAAATTATTAAGAGCGACGCAGACATCACCGCCTTGTTTCAGTTGTCTTTCACGTCTCGCATATTAGGAGGGTCATGCTCGGCGCACTCCAAGAATCGTCTGAATTAACCGAGTTGCGGCCAAATGTGACTGGATTACTGAGAGTTTGATGCCATTAAGCACTGTGTATGCTGGCCAGGACGAGGCCACACGTTTGAACAATGTGATTTTCATAATTAATGAGGCTCCAATTAACAAGCTTCTGCCTCACCATCGTACCACAACAGGTAGTAGCTGTGACAGGCATGCTGCCTCAGCAGCCAATGACAAGACGGCAGCGACTGCTGTTTTGGTCTACGCACTCAAGGCACATTCACACCTAGCCTTAGAGAGAATAAAAGTGGCGAAAATGACCAGAAATCTGCTCTCTTCTTTATCTAAGTGGCTGGAAAATCTCACGACGTTCCTAATGCATAAAAAAAGCCAGTCAGAGACAAATTTATCTGCCACACGATAGCAGAACGCCTTCCTTCTTCCCAGGAAGTAATACAGCTTCACGGGAAGTCGTACTTTCAATGCATTAGCATATAAGCCACGTGATATCAAAATCCATCTGCAAGTAATCCATCTGCAAGTTCAAAATGGCACCCAGAAAGTCAGCCATGGGTGGAATCGGTTCAATCACAGTTTACTTCGGCTGCACAACATTACTCACAGTCTACAAAGATACGTTCCTCAAGAGCCTGATTTAGATGAAGATTGCCGAGAAGATTAGAACTCGCGAAAAGTACAGCGGCAACAAGCCAGCGTGCCCCAATATATCTTGTTTTTCACAGCTGAGCAAATACGCCGCCGCTTCCAGCATGTCCATTTATGCAGCTTCTGGTAGTGTATCTCCTAAACAATGTTTTTTTTGCTAAAAAACTGAAAACTATTTATTTTCCAAGTTTCACATTTATACTTGAAATTCGGTGCAAAACTAAAAGCTAAGGAAATGGACAAAACGTAGTGAATTCCAGAATTGGCAAAGACGGTGGCGGCGTGGTCGTGGGGCAAAACAAATGTCAACATTTTTGACGTGAGCAAATATGGTGTTACAGCTGCTTTGGCATTTTCACTCACTCTTCCCTTCTCAAACGTGAATGCAGCTTTATTGTAAGCATGCAGCAATACACTGGAAACAGGTGTATAGCCGTTTTGCTGTAACATTAAATGCAACGCTAAATCTTACCGGCAGAGGTGCTGCAGTGATTGGACTTGCTTGAAACGAGACACCGGATGCAGCAGCTGTACACGCATGGGACCGAGCACGGGGCGCCGGTGAAGGAAGAACAGGTAACGCCCACTCCGCGAGTGCTCCACTGCATTCTCAATGAAGTCCACTATAGTGTTGCTGTGGAATTTCTGCAGGCAGCCAAAGCTGAAGTTGCCTGAAGTTCAAGAGAGAAGGAACGAGTAAGCACATCAGACTCACTCAAGCAACTACCAGATCGCTATATGTTTGTCAACATACCAATGCAGGGGTCAGATGGGCGGGCTGCCAGAACAGACACTAAGGCATACCAAGGGTTCCGTGTCCTTAAATTTTCAGAAAAAATTCAGCCATGTTTTTTTTGGCATTTATTAATATATTTCATTGATTCCACATTTTCTGACAATTGTTTCTTTTTTATTTCCCAGTTATGCGAAATTCTGATTGTTTTTTTTTTTGTTTTCGAATGGTTGCACATTAGTAGCACATTAGCAGAGACATAAACCATTCAAAAGCACATACAGAATACTGAATGTACCATTATTCAAATTAAATATCCGAGGTGACGGTGGATCAACACGAGTATGATAATACAGGGTGCTTTACTGCTTGCCACAGAGGAAACAGAGATACTTTCCATGTATGTCTCGGTGATGGCATATCACTCTTTTCTATTACAAACTTTAAGCACAGAAAACACCCATCCAAGGTTTTTCCAGTTTTCATGATGAAAAAATATACATATATTGGGGGCAGATAGAAGCACTGAAAGCATTCTTTGAGGGCCTTGTACTGCTTTTTTCAGTTTCAACCAAAGACTGCAACACTAGTCCTAATGCGAACACTAGCCAATTGCTCAGAGATTAAACAAAGGCAGGAGGTAGTGCTTATTTGTTTTGGACAGCCAATTTGGAGGAATGTGTAGGTGTGAGTCGATTAAGTGCCCAAGTGCAAAAAACAAAAAAAAACAAGGAGGGTTGGGGATTCAAGTGTTCTAAGCAGTGACAATACAAGCAGCCTAGCATGAAAACAAGATATGCTGTTAAAATATAAGAAAAACACATTAGGAAGTAACAAGAGCAAAGGACAACAAAATTAATGAGAATGCTAGAAGAAAACCAGTTTTATATATACAAATTGAATTAGTATTGCAAGTATGAAAATACATCATTCAGAGTACTGATAGAGAAACAAATTCAACTAATTAACGATTAAACATAACAATAAAATAAGGTAAATTAGTAGAACATGGTCACAGCAGAACAGATACCACATGCTCTTTACTGCACTTCCTCCTGCTCTCCTATGTCACACACCTCCTCCTGGGTCATAGAATAAACTTCTGTGATTAGTGCTTGCGGTGACAGTGTGTTATTTCCTCGCAGCGATGCAGCCAACTGGACAAGCACCACCGCCTGCCATGGCTTCTCTGCCTACACTACTTGTGGTGTGTCCTCCCACTCTTCCAGGAATTAAAGCTATGTGGCCTCTTCTATCAATAGTTACAAGGCCAACAAAGCATGGGTTGTCATTGTCTACACTGCCCAAATGAACAGCATGACAACACCTCAAATACTTGTCAGCTCCACAGCTATTGTCAATGCTACCGCAAGCTTGGTCAGAGAGCCGAGCGAGACTTAAACTGAGAAGGACACAAGTTTTTTGTGCTCCCGTTCTTTTGACTGTAATAGCTCCACTCTCTTTCTCACACAGCCCTTCTAAGGGCTACAGATGGCGTCACTGAGATGCCACCGAAAGAAAACACAGCAGGAAGCCATCCCGTCAATTTCGGCAAAGCCATCGGTGCCCACGCAGCAGCAGGAACCACGGAAGCTTCCGCGCTCTAAAAAGAAACCCCAACCTCAGGAAAAGGAAGCAATGACCCTGCCACCCTCTTCCAAGCTGCGAGCAAAGGAATGATTCAACCCAGCTCTTCCTCGTCTCCTGTCACGGCCATGGCTTCCTGCAAAGGACTCCCTCCTTACAGCAACAGCATCTCCTGTCTCTCAACTTCATCGGCCGCCGAGCAAACGGCGTCGTCCCCAAGTGCACATGTGCATTCCAGCACCTTTCCGGGCCCTCTTTCGAGCCACCGAGATCTCCAAGCCAGTGGAGATTTAACCCAGAACGAGTAGGAGACCACAATCATCTCTCGACCTGTCGGGAAGAGAGCTAACTTCCTGGCTGTGTCTAGGGATGTGGTCGCCACGTTCCTCCCGAGATTTTCCCTGCTCAGCGTGTTAGGGTGAATTTCATACGCAACCTGGTTGCAGCTGACATGCACCCTACCGCCAATTTAACCGCCTTGCTACAGGTTGAGACGATCTGCAAGACAAAAGTCCGGTCCAAGAAAATGTATCTTAACACCTGTGTCCAGTTGCATGATCTACGGGCTGTACCCGTCCATCCCTTTCAAGGACTTAGCTGACAACATTGCTTTACCAGTGCCACTGATGTCCGGTGTTTCCAGAGGTAATTGCCTCACCGTCTCCTTTGAGGAAATTACCATCCCCCCTGACATCCTGCTGTTATATAAGCGCCTTGTCCGTTCCGGCCAGCTCCGGCCCCTACAGTGTTCCCGTAACAACTACTACGGGCACGCAACTGCCACTCGCTCATGAGACGAACGGTGCCTGCGCTGTGACGTTAAGCCTGCGCCAGGACCATATGCACCTAAGCAACCAGGCTGCATCAACTGCAATGAATAGCATTCCGCAACCGAGCTGTGCTGCCCTTCCTGGCAGCTGCAGCGCAAGGCCGCGGTCATCATGCCCTCATCTGACAGCACCACCCTCTTTCTCAACTACACTGGCCTCTGCCGTCGTCTCCACGAGCTCAACAATGACATCGCCCGCTTTCTCTACTCCGCCGGCCCCTACCGGCGTCTCGAAAGACACAATGATAGCCATACCCGTTGCGGCAGTTTGTGCGGCGCTTTCATTCCTCCCAGCCAAATCTCCGGAGCGACGTTTTTGTGCTGCAGCCCTGCTTGTTCGCAATGCCATGGCACTTTCGGATTAGCTCTCTGAAGCGGCGCTCCCGTGGAGTCAACCGGATTGCACATCACTGTTACCCCGACTTTCATCTCTGCACATCACTGTTCCCCCGACGTGCTCATCACTGTTCTCCAGACTTTCATGGCGAGGGTTCGTGCGTCCACACTGGAGACTGATTGAATGCGTTTTTTTTTGTAGTGGCAAAGCTCGTTACACCGTGAGTCGTATATCTCGTGTCGTCGTAGTAGCTAGTTGAATTGCATTGCGTATCAATAAAAACGTCACAGCATATCCACAGAGTGAATGATGATGAGTGGGGCGAAGCGTTCGTCAGTCCATCTGTGCATGCGTCCATCAGTTTCTGTATTCCTCCGTCTGTTCGTCCGTGTGTCTGTACGTTGCCCCACTCGTCATCATTCACCTCGTGGATATGCTGTGATTTTTTAGGGGCGAAACTCCTCTTAGGCTAACCTTGTCACTAGTCATGCGTAACCGAGACAAGAAGATATGAGAAACAAGACATTTTCGTCTCATTTCCTAGATGACGTTACTCTGCCGCTACTCTCCGATTGGCTGCTGCGCATTTTGCCTGCGGGCACAGGGAATGAGTGCTTTTTTCAGTCTCTGGGTCGTCGCCGTACGTGTCGGATCATTGGTGGGGCATGGACAAAGTAGAGCGGTGGGCGCGTTAAAGACTCTTGCGTTTGGCTTCCTCAGCTCGCGTCTCATCGGTGTTACCTGCACGCCGTCTGCATTCTCTAATGCGATCAGACGCATGCACAGACAGATGGACGAACTCACACACGGATGGACAGGCGGACGCACTGGCGGACAGACGAACGCACGAATGGACGCACGGACCAATACATGGACGGATGCACGGATAGACGTACGGACGCTGCGCCCCGCTCATCATCATTTACCTCGTGAATATGCTGTGATTTTTTTTATATACCCTTCTCTACACTTATCCTTTTCTCCTATATCTTTTACTGCCATCACCCCATCCCTGTGTCGACCTGTTGAGATGTCCTGATGTCCTCTTTAGGAGTGACAGCTCCAGGCAGCCCTTTTTCTCTTCTTTACATGATTACTGTCTCTCTTGTATCTTCAACTTTTGCCTCATGACAATAGTCGGATACAACACTAGAATTCTACACAATTTCCTCCTCAAAGCCTACCCCAATGATCACGCACACCAGACTGACGTCATGAGCCGAGCAGCCTTTGGAGAACATTGTAAAATGCATGAGTGGGACTGTATCTGCAATCACGCAGGCGATCGGCTAGTGCGCTCTGATCATCTGGACAGAGCCTCTCCGAAATTCTTAAAAGAACACCGACACAAAAAATTTGCAGCTGGTTCGAATAACGCATTTGATGCTCTAACCACTGAGCTACTACAGCGGCCTGAGCTAGCTCTTTTTGTTGTTGTTGCTGCAATAGGCAGTTTATGACCCACTTATCTATCATAGATTGCAACCGGGTTTGCATGAGTGCGCAATGATTACTTATTCAAAGACATGTTTAGAGCCCTCAGTCTCAGTTTCAATTTCGAAGAGTACCGAGCTGGGCAGCAGCAGCTCTGATACCAAGCTGGCCATGTGACCATACAAAACTATGACATGGCGGCGTGCACAACAGCATGAGAGAGCGCATGCACGGAGGGAAAAATCACAGCTAGTGCAAGTGCAGCGTGGGTGCCGTCAAACAGCCCACACTCATGACGTAAGTTTGTTTACACTCACTGTGCTGATATTGGGTTACGAAGTGCTTTGCAGCTCACTCAGTTGTGCAGCATGCACTTTAAAATTGACTTTAAATATGTTATAAACTATATTTTCCCATAAAATTTCAGTGTTATGTATATCTCTAGATAAATCTGTCTCGCTCATTATCTCAACTTCGAAATTTTGTGTCAGTGCTATTTAAGTTGTTTAATGCCACTATAGTTCTGAGTGCACACCATTTCAGGGGCTTATCACAAAAGCCACTATTCACCTATGGTACAGTAGCAGACGATGCAGCATGGCAAATATGAAGCGCTAACCGTATTTTCCCAACGTCTCAAGAACCTCTGTGGCTGTAGCCACTGTCTTCTGCCAAACAATGCTATTTAAATTCACTTTCGAGAACTTGCGTATCGTTTTTTTTTTTAATTCAGCGGGGATCATACTCTGTTTACATACTCTAAAGTTGTTTTTTCTAAGTACTTCCCCCGAACTTGAAGAAATCCTACACAAGAGATCGTTAACCTCTACAGCTTGTAAAATTCTCAAACACATAATTCACATACACATTGTTACATTTCTTGATAAACACAAAGTACTAACAAAAGCGCAGCAAGGATTTAGAAGTCTGTATTCTACCACTACACAGCTGGTTGAAACCACCACCGATTTTGCTACCGCACTAAATGAAGGTGAACAGCTAAATGCCATTTTTATGGACTTTCAAAAGGCCTTCGATAAAGTTTCGCATAAAAAATTACTTCATAAATTGCAATATATCCTGAAAAATCTAAAACTTATAGTATGGATACAAGCGTATCTTGAAAACAGGCAACAATTTGTTTCACTTAATGACAGCTATTCCAGCAAACTTCCTGTGGATTCCGGGGTACCTCAGGGCTTGGTCCTCTGACCTCTTTTATTTCTATGGCTTTATGCTGATGATTGTGTGTTTCACACGAACGTATCAACTGCTGGGAATCAGATAAGGCTTAATAATTAATTTAACAAGGTCGTCTCTTGGTGCCAAGAATGGCAAATGTCAATTAATTACGACAAAACTGTTTATATGAAAATAACACTAAAAAAATTCCTTTATGTTATCAGTACGGCACAAATAGCTTCAATCTTACAGAAGTTGCAGAATACAAGTACCCTGGATTATGGATAACTAATGATCTAAACTGGAACAAACACGCCTACATAACTACAGGTAAATGTCTACGTAAACTTTTCTTTCTAAAGCGATCCTTAAAATATTCTACCCCGTCTGTGCGCATGTTGGCATTTAAAACACTGATTCGTCCAATGTTGGAATATGCTGTAATAATATGGGATCCATTCGCTAAACGTAATATTAATCAATTAGAAAAATTGCGAAACAAAGGCTTACGTTTTATTTATAACTCCTATGATAGAACAACCGTATCTGAATTATTGGTAAAAACCGGTCTGCAACCCGTTGTGGACAGAAACTGCACTTGCCGGCTTAAGTTTTTCTGTCAATTAATAAATGATCATTTAAATGTTGGCACTGCAGGCATCCTTCGTTATTCTTCCGGTTACGCAACTCGCAAGCGACATAGTAAAACCACTACTTTACCTTCACGGATTAAATGCTACAAGTATTCGTTCTTCCCTAGAACTAGTGAAGACTGGAATAGCCTGACAAATATTGTCATTTCACACAAGAAACTGTCATTGTTTGAAAACAGCATCGTCTAAACCATCACTACGAATTGCATTGTATTATGTGTTTTATTGTAATTATTGTGTTAGTCTGTAACACGTATTCTCCATCTTACGTTATTATGTGTTATGTTACTTGAAAAATTTGTTGTAGTAAGCGTTTTTGAATCTTTGCCTTGTATACTCACATCGTACGACTTATTGTGTTTTCATTATTTCTTTGTATGTACCGATCCTCGAACATTTCTCCCACCCTGCCATGATCTTCAAACTGAAGGATCGCAGTATTTATAAATAAATAAAAATTGAAGAATTGCAGCACATACTCACCTTGGTCATGTTCGATGCGCACGTGCCGTACAAAGCCGTTGAGTTTGAAAGTCAAACTGAAGATGTAGTGCTCATCAGAGCTGTCACGCACTACAAATGAACCATCTGGTTCGTGTGCGAGCAGCCGTTCAGCTGTCTCTCCACTGATGGGGCCCCAGTACCAGCCACACTGAACATGGAATACAAAAGTTACATGATACATGAGATACATGAGATACAAAGATACATGAGATACAAAAGATACAAAAGTATCAAGTTTTCAACAATTGTCATATTTCAAGTCGTAATCAACTAAAATGTTTCAATAATCTCTGACACAGCAGACTCGGTTTATAGAACTAACACGACTGGTGCGACTAAACACATGCTAGGCATTCAAGTAGCATTATGAAAACATGAATGGCAATAAATTCTCTAAATGTGTCCTGACCAATGCTGTCACCAGCACTTTTTGAAACAAGATCAAAATTTTGGAACAAGATCAAAGTAAAATACTACCTTGAAACAAGGCAAATATATTTCAATGCTGGAGACTCACTTTAGCTTAATTAGGAGATAACAGCAAGAACACAGTGAATAGGATCATGAAGGGCATGCAAGAAAGCGAAATGTTGTTGACACAAACATTGCAATTTCTTCATAAATTTGAGTGCTCTAGTGATCTGAATGCACTATTTTGCATGTTAACAACACTATATTTTATATTAATTGGTGCCAAAAATGTTTGTCAAGCTAAAATATTTGTTTCATTCACATATTTCTTTTAATATCTGCATTATATGCCAAACCATATGCCAAAATTAGCATGCTTTAGGAAAATCAATATTTTGGAAAAATCTCTACTAAAGGTCTCAATCTACAGCTAGCAATGATGGCCAAAATCAAAGCAGCAAAGCAAGTACTGCAGACAAAGTGGTAAGCAAGCCTATTCATGGGATTTTGCTCCACACAATCACAGATCCAGCAAACTTAAACAAAGTACAGAGCACAAACTCCAAGACAGAATTTTCTAATCCTCTAAAGATAAAGACAAAAATATTTTCGAAATGCTGAACTAGCACTTGCGGCTGAAACTAACACTTGCGGCTTTAAAAATTCAGTTATAGCTACTGTAAGCCTAAAGAACGACCTTGGCCATCTGCTGTCACAGGCACTTACATCTTTAACTTTCTCGATGCTGGATGCATAGTCAAGGCTCTTCCTGTCGGAATCATCTGACGCACAGCTCACTGCATCTGCTCTGCCAAAGTGGTCACACAGTGTAACAGTGGCATTGCCTGGAAGTGGAGGCAGTGCCCGCACGGCATATGGGCTGGTCGCCTTCTCACTGCACCGGACTACCTCCTCCGGATAAGGATCCGTCTGGCTCGAGCTGTTTCGCACCGATGGTGTGGCACTAGATCCCTTGCGAAAAACATTCAGCAGCGCATTGGGTAGAGTGAATGAAAAGCGCTTTCTTGATGATGATGCTTTCTCAACAGGCCGTGACACACTCTGACCTCGAGCACCCAAGCAAGAGCCCAGCGAATGCCGTAAAGACGCCTTTCCAATGGGCCCAGACAGCTCTTCAATGCCATCGTAATTGCTGCGTGCACCAATTTCCTCCGAGCAACATCGCTCAGCGCGAGAGTTTTCTTTTCTCTTTTTGCTTTTGAGGTGCTTCTTGGACTCGACAGTGGTGGAACGTGATCTGCGGCAATTGCTACACGAAGATGAGGCTTTTTCTTCTTTCATCACGTGCACATCTGCCTCCCTTGATGCCGCCGAGAATGGAATTGGACTGTTGGGGCTGCTGTAGGGCATCTGAGGCAGCAGATCGCGGCCCTCTTCACTCGAGCTGAGTACCTGTGATGGCGTGCTCCCGGGACGGCTGACAATTTCTGGCCTTTCAAATGGAGCCGCAATCGAACAAGCCGAGTGGGCAGAATGCACAGAGTGGACGGATCCTACCATGGCACAAGGCTTCAATGCTTTCGGCTTCAGGACAAGCGTGTAGTTGGAAGGCTCATCCAAGGAACAGCGTGACCTGGAGGCTTTCTTTGCCGAACCATTAGTTCGACCGGATGCAGATGCTCGGCTGCCGCTTGCATTGGAAGGTGAACACTTTGCAGTGGCACCGTGCGATTCACAACAACATGTGGCTTCAAGACGGCAGCGTGGACTGGTGGAGACCTGACATGAGTCGAGAGACAAACATGCCATGTAGACGCTCAGAGGCAACGCCCCTGCATTCTCTGTGGACGGCCAATCGGCAGACAAGGTCGAAGCTGCAGCACTTCCGATGGCGCCACATTCTTCGACACTCGAGGATGGGGGTCGAGCTGATGGAACCCTTGCTTCCCATACTCCGATGTTCTGGTGGCCAGATGGTGGGTGGAGGTCAACTTGAAAAATGACGGGGTGGCCAGAATGACGCGGCTGTTCAGTACTGCCCTCTTGGGCCTGGCCGCTGGCGTAGTGTTCATCCCGAGTGGGCCCATCACGAAAGTCAAGGCTTCCTGGGGAAGCCTGTTGGTCCATGTCACGCGTCGAGCTGTGTAGAAAGCAACCAACCAGGGCAGGCCATAGGTGAAGGGAGACTTGATGTTCCTGTTGTTCACAGCAAAGCATCGTTGGCATGGCAACAGCTGCCTGAAGGCACAATAGCCGCTTCCAATGGTGCCGCCATTATTGGTGGCCTCGAAGATGAATCCTCAGAAATCCTTTTAAAGGAACACAAAAAAGGCAAAAACAACAATGTATAAGAAGACTGTTGCAACCACCAATTTTTACAACAAAAACAGTTTAAGCCATACACGATTTGAAGCAAAAGTACGGATGTCAAAAACTTAGCCATGGTCAGCACTAAGTAGTAAGTACATGTCTTCCATAGATAACCCACAAGTGTACAATCAGGCTAGCAAACTTGCACAGATGTTATGAATACAGTACTGTAGAAAAACCATATCTGATGACATTTTTCCTTTCCAGTATATGAAAGTACATGCACACTGACCGCATTGAAAGGCCACATGAAAAAGTTCATTTGTTCGAATCTTAATAAGACGACAAATATTTACTTTTGGGTTTTCATTGCAACCCTTAAAACGAAAGTGAACTGCAGGATTCAACAACGAAGCAACAGGGATCGGACTACTTTGAAGTACTTTCAGGGTTACGAAAACGTCCACAATAGAACAAACGAAGGCAAAAAAGGCTCATCGAATTTCAGAATGCCAATCACTTGCCTGACTTAGCTAACTTTCAGCAGCCGAGACGCCAAAGTCTGGAGAAGGATGTGACGTATTGACCTCTGCACATAACTATTAGTACAATCACCGATTCTTTAAAAACTTTACGTGAACAGCACTGCAAATGCTTAAAACTGCTAAAACGGGTAGAAGGTACGACTTCTAAGGCTCGGGAAGTTCAGAGTTGGTGAGCACAAGCAGGGATTCAAACTACAATGAAAGACGTAAACAACACCTCACCAAATAAGGTTTTTAGACTTCAACTTCGCGATGCAGAAGCTGTGCCAGGAAATAGCGCAGAAAAGCACTAGACAGCAGAAGCACGCAAGTTCTGAAAGCAAGAGCTAACGGTATTCGTAGCCTATTCCTTACTTAGCCAAACCGACACAAAGAATAAACACCACGGTCTTTGGTGAACACTAAAGAAACATTGGCTATTCACGTAGATTATACTCACTTCCAGGAACACGCAATGAGCAAAACCACTCATTTAAACGAGGAAGTGGTGCTGTCCTGAGTTTACAAACAACTGAAAACACGATTACGACACTGAAGAAATGCAGCTAACGATCAAGTTTCGCTTCATCCATAAAAAATAAGACTGAATACAGTTAAGTAGCTCGTTAAAAGTGAATTAATCTCATAGAAACGATCAGAGGTGGACTGACCATGTAAACCCTCTTATTTGGCGACAACACAACGACGACGAGGAAATTTCCACCCGCAAGAGGCAGCCATTGCGAGGTGAAACCACTGAAACCACTGTTGCCGGACCGTTGCACGATACGGCCATGGACGGTGGAAGGACAGAGTTGGCCAGCTGGCGCCGAAATTTGAATGTTGCGTACCGGCACATATTTTACAAGACGCCTAAGAAAAACATCATCATCATCCAAGCATCCTCAGATAAATCCTTTAAAGAATTTTAAGAAGAGTAAAGAATAACGATGCTGTACTGATTACGAATATTTTGAAATATATGCTAGCCTCGTATTAAGGCAGAAAACTTTGTGACATTCTGACATAAAGATGAACGAAAACAACGCACACACACACACACACACACACACACACACACACACACACACACACACACACACACACACACACACACACACACACACACACACACACACACACACACACATGCGCGCGCGCGCGCGCAGAAACACGTTTAGTTTAAGTTCGTAAAATTAACAAGCTACCGCGATGAAATAGGTTCAACTAAGACATTGCTTAGGCACACATACACACGCAGAAACGTGCTTAGTTTAAGTTCGTAAAATTAACATGCAACCGCGATGAAATAGGTTCAACTAAGATGTTGTTTAGCATTTCATGGGCTGACGAATATTACTACAGACCAGAAATTAAAGATAAGTGTTCTCATAAGAGGTAGCGTGCCCTCACTGCCTTTCATCCTGCTCGTTCAAAGGATGAACCCATGGGACAAATAATTGACACTCCAGAGACTTATGCGCACAAATTCACAAATCACTGCCCTCGTCAGAGCTAGGGGAGCGCACACGTAGCGCCAACTGTCGGTGCAATTTTCGGTAGTGCGAAGCCCGACTCCCTTGCAGTTTGCGGAGTAACCAGGTGCAACTATCGCGTGCGAAACAACATTTGAGATGAATATTAGCTGTGTTTGGGCATTGAACACTCAGAAAAAGAGGTACGAATTTCTCTCCGCTAGTCGGATGCATCACCGAACCACCAGAGCAGACGCAACAGCTCCTCGCTCTACGAAGGTGTTGTCTGGAGAAACCTCAGTCAACGCTGTTGCGTTGTGAATTGATTGATATGGGGGGTTTAACGTCCCGAAACCACGATAATATGAGAGACGCCGTAGTGGAAGGCTCTGGAAATTTCGACCACATGGGGTTCTCTAAAGGGGCGCGAATCAAACAGAAACAAACAGGCCACATTTTATTGCGTGTCTTGATGCAAGGAAGGTTTTTTATTTGGTGCAGATAGATCGATTACTAGTGATTAATTATAGGCAGTTTGTCTGATGTCATCGGGATAATATTGAAAATGTCTTACTGTGGCGCTTGTGTTCTTGTGCATTTATCTAAATTTCTCGGTAAGTAGGGCACTGTTGTTTATAATAGGCACACGGCAATGCAGTTTAAGGCATCTGATGGTCCCGCCAGAACACACAACTAATAGCGAGTATGCGCAGCAAAACCGAGTCTTCCAATGCGTAGCATAGCGAGTAGACGCAGCAAAACCAAACTTGCTCGTGCATATCCTTTTCTTCTTTAGTTGTGAGCAAGGGGGTCACGGCTGATTATGTAAGCGCCCAGGAAGCGTTCTTTGAAAACGTGCCAAAAAGGGCACTGACACTTCAGCGTGTCACTGTTCAGCGAGCGTTCCATTTTCTTGGTATCCCTGGCGGTCGGTATACCAACAATGCTAAGGTGGCCCAAAGAGCTTCGTCGCGCCCTCTGGTCCATTGTCGGGTGCCTATAGTGTCGTTTTAGATGTTGTCATACATTGAGCTTTCACTCTTACGTAACTTGTTTGGCTTTAGGGTTGCTTTAACGTGCACCCAAATCTGAGCACATGGGCCTACAGCATTTTCGCCTCCATCGAAAATGCAGCTGCCGCAGCCGGGATTCGATCCCGCGACCTGCGGGTCAGCATCCGCGTACCTTAGCCACTAGACCACCGTGGCGGGGCCTTGCGTTGTGAATTGCCATGGCGGTAAATGACCTCACTTTCACCGATTCTGTAGCTGTCGCGAAGCAGGACAGCGAGTGCGCTGGATACGGGCCGTTGCGAACGCGTCGGGTAAGTCGCTCCACAGCCAGTCGCATGAGAAGGTGTGATAACGTGGGCCTCCTGTTATTGTTTCGAGTAGCCTTGACGAGAACCGTGGCAACTTCGATTATGAAGCTCAGGAGAGCGAGCTCTGACCATGGTGCTCGTCATGCAACAGTAGACTGGTGACGCGCGCGATAAACATCGCACACGCCGCGACCACCGATAATCTGAATGGATCGCCACCACACGGCATCACGCACCTCAGGCTTTCAAGGCTCTCATTTGCGGCTTTGTCTAGCAAAAGCTAACACGTACAGGTGCGATCAAAGGTGTGCAGACCACGGGATCGCGTGGCAGAATATGGCAGAATGCATGGACGCCCAGCTAGCGACGAGACACGACGAGACAGCATGCTGCAGGGCGCATGCGCGTTCCGTCTTATCACTTGGCTTCTCATGTCGCTCCGTTGGACGTGGCTACGGCGCTCGCAGCCAGAACGACAACTGGATGTCGCTTTCTTTGCTCCATCGAATCTGTGCCGTACTTTTACGTAGCAGCTGCGACGGGACCGGCTCAAGCGCCGGCTCGCGTTGTTATTGACACCGGTTGATTAGGATAAGTATAAGCATAGCGAGCATCGCACAACCGGACGAGACGAATGAACAAAGTTAAATTTACTCAGGCCTGCTTGCCTTTGTCGGGCTAATCCAAGTTGCACTTTTAAATGAGTTTCGTCCCTAAAAGGAAAGAAAACTAGCCTCAAACACCGCGCGACCATACCACGCTCAGCCACCAGCAGGGCTGTCTTGCCAACCACCGTTTTCATGTGCACCGGTGACGTCACACTGTGGGATAACCCGGTAGATGTCTATCGAGTATCCTTAGTCCCGAAACCCGTCGACCTTGACTATGTCCCTCATTCGGTAGATCAAGCTGATGATTGATTAATATGCGGGGTTTAACGTCCCAAAACCACCATATTATTATGAGAGACGCCGTAGGGGAGGGCTCCCGAAATTTCGACCACCTGGGGTTCTTTAACGTGCACCCAAATCTGAGCACACAGGCCTACAACATTTCCGCCTCCATCGGAAATGCAGCCGCCACAGCCGGGATTCGATCCCGCGACCTGCGGGTCGGCAGCCGAGTACCTTAGCCACTATAGTACCGCGGCGGGTTGGTAGATCAAGTTGTGGGACAAGCTTAAAAGCTGGGCTTCTCTTTGTGCTCGCGTTCACTGAATTATTCGCCACCTTGTTAGAAGCCGCCGCGATCACTTCAAGCTACCTTATAAGAAAGACAAAGCCGGTTGATCGGAGACTAAAGGGGAAAATTCCTTTACCGCTTCAATTTGGACCAAACTAAAGCACTAAACACTTCTGCACACTCATCGGCTCACAGCAGCTTGCATGCATATAGATAATTGCTGATTATTTTCCTTTTCGATGAAATAAATTCAATTTCCTGAAACAGGAAGAGGATTCACAGGTACACAAAAAGCTTGCTGGTTCTCGTCCATGTTTGCGTCGTCAATAATATAAATTTCATGCCTGGCGGAGCAGTATGAAATCATCACAGAGTGATATAACGTCACTGAACCCCTGTTCAGCGGTAGCCTGCTCTAATGCTGGCCAGCGCAGGGCGAGAATGCGTCGCTTAAGTCACCCGCATGGCATAAAGCCTTCACTTCGTGGTCGTGCAACACGGAGGACGTCCCCGACTTGAGCTTACACACTCCAGGTGATTCTGTCGAAGCAGCAGTAATGGGCTTCTTCAGTTTTGGTTAGTGCATCAATACAAGTGGCCACGTATTATACTTTGACCTGCGCAAGCTTTTCGCTGGCCTCATTGAAGGGCTCTAAGAATTCGACGACCTCCATCAACATGGCAATATTGACGTTTTCCAGTAGATTCCCCCCGAATCCTGGGGGTTCGCTATCACATCGTACTGAGTTAGCACGGACTTGATCATAGCGAGCTTCGAGGAAGGGAACAAGGAAGCAACAAAAAGGAGAAGGCAGGGAGGTTAACCAGAAAGACGTCCGGTTGGCTACCCTACACTGGGGGACTAGGGAAGGGGACAATAAATATAAGAAACAGGGAAAAGAAGGAAAAGAAAAAAGGAGAGACTGACAGTAACCTCACTGCAGCGTGCAGAACTCCACCGCATGTCAGAGGCGTTCACACAAACCCGTCTTCCTCAAGCAACGCAGCAGGGTTTTCACTGCCTTGTGGGCTGTCGAGGGATGTGGACGTTGCTGTAATAGCACCTGCACAGAAAGAGGCCGATCATCCAGTCGCCGCATTGCTTTGGCAAGTACTTGTCTGTCTAAGGCAAATCAAGGACAGTGGCACAGCAGGTGTTCGATATTTTCATTGGTGCCGCAAACAACGCATGCCGCACTGTCAGTCATTCCGATTAACGTGGTAGAAGCTTTCGTGAAAGCAACTCCAAAAGCGGTAGAGAAGCGAAGGTTCACGTCGATGTAGGCCGGGTGGAGGCCGGAGTTGTAGTGATGGGTCAAGCTCGTGCAGTCTTGTTCGTCGTATGCTTGGTGTGCTTACTCAGTCAGTGTGAGACTGCGGGCCAGTTGACAAATCTACCTCACCGCGTCCGCTCTTGAAAACGGAATTGGAACACTGTTTGTTTCTTCATGTGACGTGCGAGCAGCATAATCTGCAGAATCATTTCCGCTTATACCGCAATGCCCAGGTAACCATTGAAGGACGATGTCGTGGCCTTTTTGTATTAAGAAGTGGTGAAGTTTCAAATTTTCACGGTTGGATAGGTCAACTGGTCGTGAGATCCGCGTCGGAGAACTGACCGCAGGCACTGTAACGCTGGTTCTGAGTAAGAAAACACGGCCCATTTACTTGGTATTTCTTC